GTGATCCACCCTTCTCCCCTAGTCCCTCCCAAGTCAAAGCCACTGTCCTGGCCACTTTTAAGATTGGGACTGGGCCAGGCTTCCTGCTCCTCCTGCTTTTTAGAACACTTTTTTGAACTCTTCTCTGTAGTTCCCATGGACATGTCAGTCCAAGACTTCCGTGTGTTGTATGTCTTTGTGGATATCCGGATAGATACTACCCACCTTCTGGACTCGGTCCGCCTCACCTTTACCCCAGGCACTTCACTTGCTCTGGTCAGCACTATTCAGTTTGTGTCAACCCTGCAGGTAAGTAGATGAAGGACTGCTAGCTTCCCATGGGGTAGAGAGGGTACTCCAGGGTGCTCCTGGGCCTGGTGTTCTGGGCTCTTCCTCTCTGGCCTTGGCTTTCTCCCAGCTACTTGTTTCCCGTCCTTCCTTATCAATACAGGCAGCCGCACAGGAGCTGAAAGCTGATTATCATGTCAGTGTCCCACAGTGCAAGCCCCTGTCCCCTGGGGAGATCCTAGGCTGCACATCCCCTCGACTACCCAAGGATGTGGATGCTGTTGTGTAAGTTAAAAATGGAGGCTAGTTTGTAGAGACACACAAAACATACTCAGGGAAGGAGCCTGAGGCTCCTGGTACAGGAAAAGAGGCTGAGTCTGAAGCTCCTAACCTGTGTGCTCAAGGTCACCTTGCAAGATGGAGCCCAAGTGGGGACCACACTTCAGGTTGACTGGAACCTTCCCGTGTTCCATCCTTCATCCAGAAGGCTATGCCTAGGGTGGAGACGGAACTCCGAAGGCCTGATGGGGGGATTAGGATGGGCAGAAATGGAGGGAATATAATTGGAGAAGATGGATGGGCACGCCCAGGCTGCAGCCCCATTAATTTAGCATCCGGACAGCTAACAAGCAGGAGCAGCGTGTCTCCTGCCGCCTAATTATTTTAGGTAATGGAAATGCTTAATGTTGTGTGAATGCAGCCAGCCTCAGAGCCGACAGCTCCTCTGGAGGGGAGTTCTTTCCTAGCTAATGGCAAGAAAGGTGGGAGGGGCGCTTGACTCAGTCCCGCCCCGGGAGCTTTGGGTACTGGTCCTGCATAGGATATTCCTGCCCTTAGCCCCACTTCAGGCCTTCCGTAGCCCCGACCTGGCAGCCCTGTTCCCTGAGGGCCATTGCCTTGTACGTGTGCCAGTATAATGGATGCTCTTCATCCGGGGCTTCAAGGTGTGTGTTGAGGGAGATACCCTGAGTGTTGGCCTGTTCTACAGAGTGAGTTCCAGGACAGCCAGGGCTACATAGAAACCCTGTCTTAAAACAATAACAACAACAAAAAGAAACAAAAGGACATGAGTCACTATACCTGGCTTGAGCAAGTGTATTAGGGTCCTTAGACCCTGGATGTTTCCTGTAAATGGCGACAGTGTGGGTGTGTTTTACTTAGTTCGGGCCTGGCAATCAGAAGACCAGGAAATAGCAGCTCTTAAAGCTCAGCATTGGGCCGGCGCTGGTTTGGTTCAAGAGCAGCCTCTGTGCACCCTGGAGCCTCCTCCATGGCCTCTATAACATAAGTTAAAGTTTTGTATGTCTTTATTTATTTACTTTGGATTTCTGAGACAGGGTTTCCCTGTGCAGCTCTGGTTGTCCTGGAACTCACTCTGTAGACCAGGCTGGCCTCGAACTCAGAGGTCCACCTCCTTCTGCCTCCTGAGTGCTGGGGTTAATAAAGGTGTGCGCCACTACTACTTAGTGGGTCACCACCACCCAGCTTCTTTAATTTTCCTGTATGAGTGTTTTGCCTTCATGTATGTCTGTTTGCGACGTGTGTGCCTGGTCCATGTGGAGGTCAGAAGAGGGCATCAGGTCCTCTAGCATAGGAGTTACAGGTGGCTTTGAGCCACAGTGTAGGTGCTGTGAATGGAACCCAGGTCCTCTGAAAGAGCCATCTCCAGCCCTGAGTATAGATAACATCTTGAACACAACTTCTTATGTCTGTGTTGATCTTAATAAAAGAGAAACTGTCCCTCAGCTTTCAAATTAGGCTCTCCTGGGCCCAGGCGGCCTTTCATTGGCCCTGGTACTTCCTTTACTTTTCCCACAGAAGCCTGGACACCCAGCTAGAAGTGTTTCCTAGGCATCTAAGTCCAGGTCCTTACTTACATATGGGAGGCCTAAGGTGCATTGAGGACTGTCTCAGCAGCATGGGTGGCTGAGGACTCAGTCATCTGGACCTGTAAGCCAGGGTACCCCCTGTGCTCCCCCATACCACACTTACACACTCTCTCCTCTTTGTAGGTATCTTGGAGATGGCCGCTTCCATCTGGAGTCTGTCATGATTGCCAACCCTAATGTCCCTGCTTACCGGTATGGGCTGGGGAGGGCTGGCCATCTGAGGCAGGGTGAGAATCTCTGCCCTGGAGGCCTGCCACAGGCTGTTCCACACTCCCTGTTCACTAAATGCAGCCATCCCTAACTGAGGCACCTCTGGGATTTAGACCCGGCACTGCTGTGGCCTACCTGGGAGTCATACCACGCCCCTAAAACTCTGCCTTGCTCTCCCCCGCTCTAGCTGTGGTGGGGCTGATCTCCTCATTACAATCCTTATTCCTGCCTGGGGCCAGATTTCTTAATTACTTGCTTAGGTCCTGTGTCAGGAAACCTCTTGGCCAGGGTGGCTCTGGCTGTCACAGTGACCCTGGCACCTTTTCCAGGTACGACCCATACAGCAAAGTCCTATCCAGAGAGCACTATGACCATCAGCGCATGCAGGCCATTCGCCAGGAAGCCATTGCTGCGGCACGCTCAGCCAAGTCCTGGGGCCTTATTCTGGGAACGTTGGGCCGACAGGGTAGTCCCAAGATCCTGGAGGTGAGAGACTCAGCATCAGGAGGAGGGGGCTGACAGGAAAGTAGCTGGAAAACTCTGTCGGCCAAAGTATCTGGCTTTGGCTCTTTCATCACAGAGACTCCAACTGGGCCTCCTTCTTCCAACAGCACTTGGAATCTCGGCTCAAAGACCTGGGACTTCCCTTCGTGAGGCTTTTGCTGTCTGAGATCTTCCCCAGCAAGCTCAGTCTACTTCCCGGGGTGGATGTGTAAGTTCCCGCACCTTGCCTATGTAGGGTGACCAGCTAAAGGGAGCTTAGGAATCAGGTTCTGCCTAGCACAGACTTAAGGCTACAGCCAGTGGGAATTGCATGTGTTGTCCTGACATTTTAGTATTTATCAAGCACCTGTCTAGCAGGGGCCCCCCTTGACCATGGGCCACCTGCATTGTCTGACCATCATAGTAGTCTGTGGGATGAGTGTGTGTGAGGGTACTGTGTACAAACTTTGGTTCTAGGGGAGGTATCTACCCACAAATGAACTACCCCCAGAAAGCTCTTAGGGTTCTGGGGAGACAGATGGCTTATGGAGTAAAGGTCTGATGATGGCTTGAGCCTGATTCACTTAAGGGGAAAGTTTTCCTTTCCTTTTGTTCTTTTTTCTTTTGATTTGTTGAAATAAGGTTTCTCCGTGTAAAAGCTCTGGACATCCTGGAACTTGCTTTGTAGATCAGGCTGGCCTCGAACTCACAGGATCCACCTGCCTCTGCCTCCTGAGTGCTGGGATTAAAGGCGTGTGCCACCACTGCCTGGCTGGAAATTTTTTTTTCTCCAAATTTTGCATGTGTGGAGCTCTAGTGTCCACCCTCAGGTGCTATCCCCCCTCTCTCTTTTCTGAGACACAGTCTCTCACTGACCTGGAGCTTGCCAAGTAGGCTAGCTTGCAATCCACCTGTCTAGGCCTCCCTAGTGCTGGGGTACAAGTGAATATGACACACACAGACACACACACTATTTTTATTTTATTATTTATTTATTATTTATTTATGCAATGGTTCTGGGAGTTAAGGTCAAGACCTTGGCTTACAAGGCAAGCACTTTAGAGTTAGTTATCTTCCCAACAGTATAGTACTCCTAACAATAGAATCAATACATCCTGTTGACAAATGGTCATGTTCTTCAGTGTGGTACCTCAGAAAGAGGTGGCCTCCATGTCAAGCCTGACTTCTTTCCTTAGGTGGGTGCAGGTGGCGTGTCCACGCCTCTCCATTGACTGGGGTTCAGCCTTCCCCAAGCCACTGCTGACACCCTACGAGGTAACCACCACATTGGAAAATCCGCAGGAGAGTGGGCTCTGTACCTCCCGTCAAGAGAGGGGTGTGAGATGGCTGGCATCGTGAGCACATTCTGGGGTTGGCCACCATCTTCTTGTGTAGCCTTTTTTGTTTGTATTTAAGGACTGGTCCTGATACTTGGTCTATACTGTTGGTAGTAGCCCAGGCTGGCCGCAGTTTACGGAGTGCTGGGAGGCAAGAGCCGCCACACCTGACTCACTGTGTAAATGAGTCTCACCTCACATTTCTTTTTTTTTTTTAGTATATATTATATAATAATTATATCCTAAGAAGAATACTACCTTTCTTAGGCTGTGGTCAAATTTACTAATGCAGAGGGAAAAAAAAATTCTATCTTTGTCTTGTTTTTCTTCTCTAGGCGGCCGTGGCCCTGAAGGACATTTCCTGGCAGGAGCCCTACCCTATGGACTTCTACGCCGGCAGCTCCTTAGGGCCGTGGACAGTGAATCACGGTCGGGCCCCCGGTCCCCGGGATGGCTCCCGGGGTGTCGGCCAGCCGGGCAAGGTAGGCGGGGACTTCACCGAGGGCGGAGTTGACTTAGGCTGACTCCCCAGCGACGTGAGCCACGGCCGCCGCCCTGAGGACGCCCAGGAAAGTGCAAGTTTGCCGGGTGGAGGTCGCAGTAGTGAGACCTGGATTTGTGGGCCACCTCAGGTGCAGCCGGGGTCAAGAGGCCCGTCCCCAGCCCAGGCCTGTGAGGGCTGCCGCTGCGCAGAGCAGACGACCGCACCGCCCGCTCCCTGAGACGCCGCGGGTCGCAGGTATTTACGGCCACGCCCCACCGTTTTGTCTCGGAAGCCCCGCCCTCTCCGAGTCCCCGCCCCCTGGGTGTTGCCCGCCCGGGCCCCGCCCCTCCCAGGTTCCACTTCCGCCCAGGGAAGGCCCGCTTCCGGTGGCTCTGCGGCATGGCTGCGCGGCGGCCCCTGCGAGTGCTGTGCCTGGCGGGCTTCCGGCAGAGCGAGCGGGGCTTCCGCGAGAAGACCGGAGCGCTGAGAAAGGCGCTGCGGGGCCGCGCAGAGCTCGTGTGCCTCAGCGGGCCGCACCCGGTCCCCGAGGCAGCAGCTCCCGAGGGCGCCGGGCCAGACTCCGGTGAGACAAGCACCGGGGCCTCTCGGTTCTTCTCACCCGGCCCCGTTAACTCGGGTCCAGCCTGCGCTTCCGGATTTCCTCCTTTATCTCTGTCCGGTATCTCTTCCCCTCTCCCTACCAAGTCTCCTGGTCCCGTCTTTCCCAAGCTCTGCCCCCTCTCTTTCTCCCTGGCCCCCTCTAACCCTGACCCTGTGCTCTTCTCCATCTGCTTCTAGGGCCCTGTGCTCCGGAGGATCAGCCTCGAGGCTGGTGGTTTTCTGAACAGGAAGCAGATGTTTTCTCCGCGCTGGAAGAGCCTACAGCATGCAGGGGTTTGGAGGCGGCCCTGGATACGGTGGCACAGGCCCTGAACACGCTGGGACCTTTTGACGGACTTCTTGGCTTCAGCCAGGGGGCTGCACTAGCAGCTTTTGTGTGTGCCCTGAGTCAGGCAGGCGATCCCCGCTTCCCCTTGCCGCGATTTACCATACTTGTGTCGGGGTTCTGTCCCCGAGGCCGTGGCTTTAAGGAATCCACCCCGCAGAGCCCCTTGTCACTGCCTTCGCTTCATGTTTTTGGGGACACTGATCGAGTGATCCCTTCTCAGGAGAGTGTGCAGTTGGCTAGCCATTTCCTTGACGCCGTCACCCTCACCCACTCTGGCGGTCACTTCATTCCAGCAGCTGCAGCCCAGCGTCAGGCATACCTCAAGTTCTTGGACCAGTTTTCAGAGTGAAGGATCAACAAATGTCTCTGCACTGCGCCCACTTGCTCTTGCAGCCAGTTGTCTAATGCCTTCCGGTTGTTAAGCTAGTGGACTCTCCACTGTGGCACTCTTACCGTGGCTAGTTGAAAGACAACTATCAGTTCTCAGGACTCACATAAACCCTGTCCTTTACTGGAGCAAAGAGGAACAGGCAGCCTTAATAGACGTCATTTATGATAAACATGAGAAAGAAGGCCGGAAAGCCCATGAGAGGAAAGTGATGTGCAAGCAGGGGCCGGCACCCTTGCGATTGGCCCACAATAAAGTGGTTTAAGATTCTGAGTATCTTTTTCCTGGCACAGACCCCAGGGCAGCGCCAAGCTAGGAATTGCTTGCAGTTCCGAGGCCCCCCCCCCCCCATTTTTGTTCCACTTTTGGTGGAACTTACTTTTTAAATTTTTGTGTCTTAAAATTCTGCTTACTTATTTTGTGTATGTGCGTACACAAGCCATGACCGTGTGGAGGTTAGAGGAGAACCAGAGGGCGTTGATTCTCTCCTCCAACCATGTGAGTCCAGAGTGGAACTCTGATTATCCGGCTTGGCAACTCATGCCTTTACCGGCTGAGCCGTTTCACCATCCTTTGGTGGGAGTCTTAAGTCCCAGACCAAAGAAGCCGGAGGTCTTGGTGACAGAATCAGTTTTTACGTCTGAAGAGGCTGGGGAAAGAACACTTGGCAAGGCTCTGCCTGAGTCGTCAACTTTTAGGCTTCCTAGATCCTGGTACCTGAGAATCTGGAGTTGGTTTCTTTTGGTTCCTGGCCCTGCCTGTCCTTTGCTTTCTCTTCCGTACCTTCTCAACTCTGAGCTTGAAGGCATGGATAGTACCAGATGTTGGGTAGAGGCCAAAGACAGCACAGGATAAACTGCCTTTTCCTAAGGATCTGCGGGGTGGGGGGTGGGGGGCGGATTCTAAGGTGAATGCTATTCATAATCGATTATGCTAATTATCACTGATGTGTTGAGAAAGCCTAAGTAGACTGGCTGTTTTACCCGTGGGGAGTGCAGTCAGCCCAGGCACTGTAAGGATTGCCCTCTTGCTGTTTTCATTTTTCAGTGCCCATTCCAGCCACACATGTAGACACACTGCCCTCTGATGTCTGCCTCTGAAAGACAAACATTGCTTTTTCTAAGACACCACGAGGTCCTACCTAGTCCCAAGCCACGGTGTCCTCTAGGGGGCAGGAGTTGGGGCTGGCACAAATACTCCAAGTCATTCTTTAACAATCACACTTAAGCCAGGCACTTGGGAGGCAGAGGCAGGTGGATCTCTGTGAGTTTAAGGCCAGCCTGGGCTACAGAGCGAGATCCAGGAAAGGCGCAAAGCTACACAGAGAATCCCTGTCTCAAAAACAAAAAATGAAAAAAAACAATCACACTTAAGGTATCCACAGTTACATGTTCCTTGACCAAGAAGTGTTTCCAAGTATGGACTGGAGGGGCTGGAGAACTGGCTGGGTGGTTAAGAACACAGGCTTCTCTTTCAGGTGACCCAGGTTCAGTTTCCAGCCCCCACATGGCAGTTCACAAACATTTGTAACTCCAGTCCCAGAGGCTCTAACCCCAGGACCCAGGCACGCACACGGTATATGCTTCAAGTCAGTGACCCAGAAATTCCAGGGTGGTGGCGCATGCAGGCAGAGGTAGGAGGATCTCTGACTTTGGGGACAGCCTGGTCTGATAGAGAAACACTGTTTCAAAAACTGTTTTTGAACATGACTAAGGCAAGGCAGAGCCTGGCCAGGTGTTCTGTACCCCCAACTCCTCAGATGTGGTCTCTGGTTGAGTCCCCGGAGCCTCTGGACTGAAGACTCCACCAAAGGGAAGGTGAGATGGCTCAGCTGGTAAAGGCGTTGACCACCAAAACAACAAGACCCCCATACACACCGAATCATCTAAAAAATGTTACCAAGAAAAAAAATAGACCTGATTATCCCCAAAGGCCCAGCTCACTGGCTCTAGAACTTTTTCAAACAAGGCTGGGGTGGGGAGTTGGTCTCTCTGCCCTGCTCTAGTCTCCCAAGGGTTGCTTCCTTGACAAACAGATGGGATTACTCCTCTAAACCTACTGGCTTTGGTCCGGTAGTATTCCTTGCTTTTCTGAAAACAGATGGAGCTGCAAATCTGTACTCGGATCCTCTGGCAGTCATAGGCTGCCCCCTTTAGGTGGACTCCAAGTTGGGGAAAAGCATCACTTGCACTCCTGGGAATCCTATAATAAAGATGCCTGTGAGTGGTTTCTAGGCCCAGCTTACAGGAAAAGGGGAAGTTCAAGCATATTATGTGAAACAGAGGTGCTCACACATGGAGTAAAGATTTCTCCTGAGGGTCAGGATGGCTCTGACTCCCAACTAGTACAGTGTCACCTTATCGTGCAGACTGGACCCCAACACTACCACATGCACATCCTGTGGGCCACTTACATGAGGGACATTTGTTAAACTTACAACTCCTAGAGCAAAGTCTAGATCTACTTGACAAACTGCTGCTGGTCATTCCTGAGGTAGGCATTTGAAAACTACAGCCTAGGGTAGAATTTTAAATCCCTGGTAAATAAATACGTTATTGGGAAAGAGCCTCTCTGTGACTCAGAACCCTCTGGGGAGGAGAGAAAGCAGGTCCCCTGAGGAATCACTGCTCTAAAATTTTCAATTTAGCTGGGTGGGCATGGTCGCTCATGCCTTTAATCCCAGCACTTGGGAGGCAGAGACAAGTGACTCTCTCTTCAAGGCTAGCCTGGTCTACGAAGCAAGTTCCAGGGCTGTTACATAGAGAAACTCTGTGTCCAAAAACAATTTTTTTCCATTTATAGCCCAGGCAAATAAGGTCCTGCGGCTAGAAACACTTATTGAGAAATAACTATACCTGACAATGGGATAAGTATAATAAGTCCATCTATTTTTGAGACAGGGTCTCACTGTAGTCCTGGTTAGCCTTGAACTCACAGAAATTCATTTATTTCTCTGTCTCCCAAGTTCTGGGATTCAAAAACATGCACCACCATGGCTTAACTCATTTATTTTTGGTGGCATGAGTCAAACCCAGGACCTTGGGCATGCTAAGCACAGACTGTACCACGGAGCTCTATGCCCAGCCCACCCCCTTATTGCCTAATTTCATTCTGTAATGTCATGAAGTAAGTACTGTCATTAACCTAATAACCGAGTTTTACAATTGAGGAAACAGTCACAGAAAGGCTAAGTACATTACTCAAGATCGGATGATTCACATTCTTGCCTGTGGCCTTCAGTGTTCCCCTCTCCCTTGTTTTGAGACACAGAGGATCTCACTATATCGCCTAGGCAAGCCTGGAGCTTCTGGGCTCAAGGGCTCACTTGCCTCAGCCCCCGAGTAGCTGGGACTGCGTGTACATACCACTGCTCCTGGCTTTGGTGGTTCCTCTGCTGCCCCGTAGAAAGCAATCAGAAACTACCACTCACTACAGGCTAAATGCACAACTTGGGCCTCAGCTATCTAATCCGTAAAGTAAGTCGGGGAGGAGGGCATGGTTTACACGAAATGCTTTCTAGGATACCAAACAGTCGCCGCATCATACAGTTAACCCACGTTCTTCTGATGGGTTCACTCTGCAAAAGATTCGTCTCCCTTCCCTACCATTTGTTTTATGCCTCGATTACACCCAGCATTTCTAAAGCTCCGAGGAAAGGCAGTTATCCTGGCGGAGTCTCTCAATAGCCCTAGACACAGAGTATCCCCCTTCAGCCTCTGTGGTACTCCTTTTTTAGGGCATGTTGGAGAAACTCGAGTTGGATACAGACCAACTGAAGGGATAGTGTTGGATGATGTGTTTGGACAAGGGACCAGGTGAACTTGCTGTCCCGTAATTTGCTCTGTAGACCAGGCTGGCCTCGATCTCACAGAGATCCTCCTGCCTCTGCTCCCCGAGTGGTGGGATTAAAGGTGTGCGCCACCACCACCTGGCAAGGACCCTTTTAATCATCTTCCGTGGCTCAGGGGAAAGTTGGGGGCCAGAGTCATAGAGAGGCTGTAGCTCTATCAGGAAATGGATTCTTTGTCCTCTGTGCTCTGCCCTCTGCCTGCTCACATGGGGGTTTCTGGAAGAAGGGTGTGATAAACTTCCCTCTCCACTCCCTTTAACCTTTGCTGGCCAACGTGTGTCTTCTATCCTTCTTGAAGGACTCCTGATCTCATCTGTCCTCCACCCCCAGGAGATAAGAATCCTTATCCCAGAACAACCCATTTCCTCGCCACCATTAGGTAGCAGATACCTCGACTGGAAAGACTGGACAGTCACTGAGAAGGATGGTCAGGCACTCGGCGGACCTTGCTTGCTTCTGTGCCGGGGTGGATGCGCAGCAGCCTCGCAGGCCGCCTCTCTGAGCACACCTCCTGCCACCCCCTCAGACACATCGGATGTTGCGTCGCCGCCCCGCCTCCTCTTGCTCTGCATCTGCCCAAACCAGGGCTGGCAGAGCTCGGCGTGGTGGGGAGCGTGGGCGTGCTGCGGGGCGACCATGGCTGTAGACTGTTACCTCCGGTTCCCACAGTAACAATCGAAAGCCACGGTTGCCCTGGAGACGCGGGGGCGGGACCGTCAGGCTGACGTCAGCACCGCGGGCGGCGGGGGCGGCGAGGGCTGTGCGAGCGTGTGCGGGACCAGCGCCCACCGCGGCCCGCGGGGACCTGGGAGACGGGCTGGCCCGAGGGAGGCTCCTGCGCTGCATCAGCACCGCGGACAGCGGCGCAGGGAGGCGCGGAGGGGCCCGGGGTCGGCGGTCCTGGGGCGGGGCCAGGCGTCGGTGGCCGTGACTGGAGACTGTTACTGAGGGAGGCCCGGGCAGTAAGCAGTCTAGAGCCAAGGTGCCGGCGCACTGCCCGGGCGGGGATGTCCCGTCGCCCGCGGCTGGGGCGCTGCTGCTTCTCACCTCCTCCTCCCCCTCCTCCTCCTCCGCCGCCCAAGCGCGCGCGGGCAGGCACGCGACCGTTGACGTCAGAGCCCTGTGACGTCAAAGATGTCCCAGCGGGGAGGCACTTCCGGCAGTGGGGTGGCGGTGGGGCCGGAGCGGGGCGGCCTGGCCGAAGCCCCGCCCCCGCCTGGTCCTGAGAGGACAGCTCCGCTCGCTCGCAGAGGCGGGAAGTCCTGGGCGCAGTGGGACCGACCGCCCGAAGGGACGGGACGGGACGGGACAGGGAGGGGGCGTCTGGGCAGCATGCGGGGCGGGGGTCCCGAGACGGTCGCAGGGCCCAGGTGTGCATCTGTCTGTCTGTCTGTCTGTCGTGGGCGCCCTGGCTCAGTCCATC